CGTTTCAAAATTTTAGTTTCATTAATTTTCTGATTTTTAATATTTTTTCTAGTTTTGGAGAAATAAAATATGATTATAAATTTATAACTATTAGGAAATGGAAAATATTTGGCCGGCCGTATTATGGGAATGCCCGCGGCGTGGTGGGTCACATGTTTGATAACATTACGGTGTTAAATAATTCGCAATTTTTCTCGAAACTAAAAAAAATATTAAWAATYAGGAAATYAATRAAAWTAAAATTTTGAAACGTCAATATTTTCAGAAAAATAAACTCAACAAAATGGCTATCTTATCTATATATGTATACAATACACACCACAAATTAAAATATTTTAATTCGTGAAACGTATAACACACTTTGATTTATACATATCATCACAGAATAGTTACTTGTTACTTATTATATTACTTCTTAGTTCTTTGTGTTTACTATATTTATGTTTAGGCAAGTTAAAATAAACATTGACCAAATAATTGATAGATTTGGAAAAAGCGACAATGTAAAAATACATTTAAATTTTATTATTTAACGTATAACATTTATAAATTAAATAATCATTAATTTATTTATTACATTGATTACCTATGTCCTATGCATACCTACTATTATGGCAACATTTTTAAATTATAAATAAAGTACCTATAAAAAAATTGTAGGCCCTCAGGTTTTTACTCTGGATCCGTACCTGAGTACCTATAATCATTGTAATTTGATGGAGTTATAGGTTCAGTCGATTCAGAAATTTTCAAAAAGTATCTAAAATAATACCTAGATAGGTATTTTGGTGAAAGTTTAATTAAAAACTTTGGTGAAAAACGGAAGCGGTGATAACGACTGAAGGTGACTTTGGCGGAAAACTGCAGTGACACCTCAAAATGGCATCACACAACCATAATATCATTATTCATGGACTTCTTGAGGTATGACAATTGACAATAACTTAGGTACATATTATATATTTATAAGTATCTATAAAAATATTATTTGACTATCTATTATAATTATTATTGTTTATGAATTATACCAAATTGGTAATATTTCTTATTGGTTAATTAATGTATAATAAATTTAAAATTAAATTTCAATTTGACCATACAAATTAAAACTATAGCTACCTAATTAGATACCTAATCTTAGGGGTCATCACATTTAAATTAATTAATTTGAAAGGTCGTGGATGTAAAAAGGTTGCTCACCACTACCTTATAGTTCATATATAGTGATGAAATATATTTAAAAAATCAGTAAATCATTTGGAAATTTGGTTCACAGGAATTAATTATTATATTATATTGGTATCTACTGATGAGTTTAAAAATGAGAATTTGAAATCCATTTTTTTTGTCTATTTTAGAAAACAAATYTGATTCCTTTTTTTTWAATTTTTTGTATATTTTAATGTAAAATAGATATTCAATCAATRATCAATAAAAAAAAAATTTAATATTTAAAATATGATGACCATAATTATCTACATTATCTATACACCATAAGGGGAGATGATCTCCTTGATCCCCTAGGTACCCCYTGTAAATACTCCTCTGATTCCAAATAATTGAATACTAATTGAATTTCAAACTGAAAATGTAGAAAGAGAAAAAATATCTACAAAAAAGTATAGTTAGGTAAGTCCTATTTTTATAAGTTATAATTTTTTTACGATACCTTTCAGATATGTGCTATCCTCGTTCAACGCCACCTCGGCGTCTTTCAATGCCAAACGTGGTTGACCGAGAAGTAGATAACACTTGCTTCTAGAAACCAAAGCTGTTTTGTCATTCGGGCTCAATTCCAATGCCTTTAAACAAAAATAATAAATGAAAAATTATCATGCGTACCAGTTGTACACAAAAATTAAAAAGGTACATGAAACCGATCGAAACTTCGCCTATATTCTATATGAGATATGACGTATAAAACTTATTATTTAATATTAAACAATAAGTTCTCAACAAATAACTATAAAATCACATAAATAAATATATGGATAAATTTGCGTCTAAATATCTAATCGCATTAACGTGATTTCAATATGATGATTATCATAGTTAAAAATCAATTTGATTCGTTATATTATTTTTTGTGTATTTAAAAAAAAAAAAAAAAAATAGTTAGGCTGCTTCATTTTACTGAAGTTGAATACAAACATATTTCAAAAGATAGGAACTATGTCTGAGTTAATTTATTAATTGAAATTATAAGTAATTGAAAAAGTTAAACTTGTGTAAGAAATAAATCATAAAAACAGAAACATTTATAAGTATTAACCGTACGGATTCCCGCAATAATTGACGGATTTCCGTGATTCGTGAGAGATCTATATAGGTATATTATTAAGTTTAAGACGTTTAAATCCTACTTACGTATAAATAACGTTTCAATATATAACGTGTATAAAATGTGTATTTAGTGGACTATTTTGATTTAAGTTTATTTTGTGATGTACAAAAGCAATACCTATAAGCACACAAGAGTACAAGACACAACTATACTGCATAACTGTAAAAACAAGTTATCATTTATTTGTGAGTTTAACTATTTTATTGCTAAGTGTAAATAGTAGTGTTATTATCGTATTTGAAATATTGAAATTTGAAACGTACCTATATKATATTGATACTTGATAAAATACCATACTTTTTGTAATGTGTAATATTTACACAAGATTTTATTACATCAATAATTAGGTTATTTACAAATTCGAATTTGGGTAGGTAGGTATACTTACTCAATTAAAAATATGTGATATTAATTAAACTTTTAAGCTTAAATAAAATTCGATTTTTTTTAATCATCCATGACAAGGCATGAAAATAAGAAATAACAGGGAAAAATATAATTTACAATATTTAATAACAGTATAACACTAGGTATAAATTAAATTAAATTATAAATGCATATTTTAATTTAATAACCTAGTCTARTAAAATGGTGCAGAATTTTCTACTTTACTGTACCTATTGACATTTGCTATTTATTATACTAATGTAATATATTTATTTCGACGAACTTGGTTTAATATTATTTACTTAGACGAATGTCGATGAGTGGTTGCTTAGATACTCATAAAGTGAAAGTTCCCTATAATATATTTTTTATATAAGCATTAATGACTGCCTAATTAATATGTTCAGCACAATCTAAGATATAATACTTATCATCTTTTAAAGTAATTTGAACTTTATCAATAATTATCTAAGTGGCTATTTAATATTTTGCACTCCTTCCCTAAAAAAAATGGTGCACAGCTACTCAACTGGGCTCTGTCGCGCTGCAGGTATAGTTAGGTATTAATAACAAGCATAATATATGTATTGCTTGGCTACACTTTKAAATACTTACAAAATAATCATAGGTACTCGCAATAAACTTAAATCAAAAATGTCTGAGACTTAAAACTGTCTTGCAATTAATTAGCCATCATTAAGGGGATTCGATACCGTGATTTTCTGTCTTTATCCTACACACTCATGACATAGGATTTAAGTTATTTGCCAAACGTACCGGCTGATGGCTATAATCTAATGAATTGATAAAATTGATAAGAATCCCACACTTTTTATATTATCCTCCAAATTCCTAAAAAGTTATAATATAAAAAAAGTAATTAAAAAATTGTCATATTTCAATATTTGGAGAAGTTAAAATCGAAAAATCAAAAAATGCGTGAAAAGACGGTTTTAAGACTTTAAGTAGACTTGACGCAAATTCAAATTTGTTTTCAGAATTCTCATCGTTTCACTATAAATACCTGCAATCGATACATTTGGTAAAGAACACGACAATAATCTTATATTATGTTGCGCGTATGTCAGAAAAAAACAGAAAACCACGATATCGAATTCCTCTTAAGCTTTTTTTTTATTTCACTATCGATATTGTATCTAATATATGTTATGCCCGCTCAAAACTTTTTATTCTATAATTAGTGATTATTAATTACTATTAGTAAAAACAATTGTGCGTGTGCAAAACGAGCAGTTTACCGTAATAAATTGAAGATCGGAAATTCGATAAACGTAAGACTAATAAGGATCAAGTTTTWAAAGTAAGAAGGTCAAAAATGATTAATAAATTGTAATTAAACTGTCTACTGACACTTTATTTAAAACGATCAGTGCAAACATTAATGGTGGTACCTACGTGTGRACATTYCCGTCAMYAGATAAGTGATTAACATGAATAACTCAAAATGTTCTGACAACCTCAACACGAACTTGTAAGGCGTTTATGTTAAGACTTGAGATATGTTTKATATTGAATTTCGTAAAGTCGAGTGAATAGTAAATGCGCGTGTTGCGTGTACCTATTATAATATATTCATCGTACCATCATATAGCGAAGTTCATATTCATATTATATGAATCATCATATATAACATTTCAGCATATAAAACTTGTTGCATCTAACATTTAGATTGATGTTTATCATGACTACAAGGGTACCTACGTTATAGGTGCATAGGTTGATGAGCCGAAGTTGGTAATATTATAAAAGTTTAACATAATTTTGTTCAAAATCAACACGTATATCAATATCCAAAAAAGCGGGTAAGTCGTGGATGTCACTCTGCTGTACAGTAGGTTACAAGTGGGTTACTGACTACTGTAATGGATGGAATTAAATTTGAATCCAATGATATTATATCATTGTACCTATACGAAAAACGATTCTGAGCGAAGACGGTTTATCTGTCTAGAATATAATATAGATTATTAAAAATTTTCAAATCTTAGATTTAAAAAGAAAAT